TGCCCAATGATCTGTTAATACTTTGTTATTAAACAAATATAAGGCAAATATAATAGCAATTTTAACCCACATTTCATCCATTTTCTTCAGTCTTGAGCAATGTCTTCATCACCACCTTATCATAACATTTTGGTCTTTTATTTTGAAAAGCACATCATAAATAATAAATTATAACTCATTTTCTACCATGGCCATGTTTCTCAAAATGATTTTACATATTGCACATTCGTAATGTAGCAAAACTTGTGAGAGACAGATAAATGGGTTCAAACTGTTCCAAGAGAGGTTGCTGTACCCTGACTTTAGTCCCAAGTATGAATTTAGGAGAGCTTTCTCCAAAGCAGCATTATACAAATATTTTCACAGTTAGTAGAACAAACAACAAACCAGTTTCTTCTGTAGGCTGTAGTTAGACATAGCCCTCTCTTTCCAACCATCAACTGATTTAATCGCTCAGCTGTCTATTAAGGGTTCCTGTAAATAAAGTAAAGTAGCAAAGTTAGGTTAAATAATCTGTATGGATTTCTCAGTAAAAAGGTTCTACCAGGACAGGGCTCCCTGTCCTGGTCGTTGTGTCCTTGGGCAAGACACTTTACCCTACCGCCTACTGGTGATGGCCAGAGGGGCCAATGGCGCGATATGACAGCCTCGCTTCTGTCAGTCTGCCCCAGGGCAGCTGTGGCTACAACTGTAGCTTGCCTCCACCAGTGTGTGAATGTGAGAGTGAATGAATAATGGAATTGTAAAGTGCTTTGGGTGCCTTGAAAAGCGCTATATAAATCCAATCCATTATTATTATTATTATTATTATTAAAAACCGAACGATCACGACTTACACTTTGTTGGTTCAGTCCATTCCATTGGTTGCGGCGTTTTAGTGCATGTGGTTGACAAGCAGCTATACAGAGCATCAAACAAACTCCAAGGAGACACACACTGAAGTCCAACAGATGTTGCACTGCCACACTCTGTTCCTCCTTTAGAAGTAGGAAATAAATGAGGGTACAAAACAAATCTCTGAATTGTGGCTAAATCAGCTATGCTGTTCAAGTGCAACATACCGTACCTGTGTTAACATGACTGTAAGAGTGGTATCATCCTTGAAGTTCAGACTGTAGCAGGTTGGTGATGCTGTAGGCAGCTGGTTACTTGCCTCCACATAGAAGGATGAAATATTTTTCTCTGACTCAGGGCACTCTGGAGGACGACTTTATTAAAGTACATAACATTTATGAGTTTTCTGACTTTTTAGGTCACTGAGGAAAAGTTGTAGTTACACTGTAATTAAGTTAAGAAACATGTTCTTTACAGAACATGATAAACTTACACACTTGTTGGCAGGAGGTCACTTGGGGCACTTATAGTGAGGCAGGTGTAGCTACCATTGTCAGATAGAAACTCTAGTGTCAAATTAACATTTTCATTGCCTGGGGAGTAAAAAATTACAATCAGAATGTAAGGTGATAAAGACTTTCACATAATATCACACCCATAGCACTCCATGGCAAAACTAACCTCCAATAAGCAGCTGACTGGCTCTCAAGGTTGTATGTAGACTGAGATCTCTCAGCGAGACACTCGGAGAGCTGGAAGTCACAAGAGCAAGAGGAACCTTGAGATGTAAATGGGTGACAGAAGAAGGACTCTTTGCTGAGTTAACTGAGGTCTTTCTGTCCTCTTCCTGCTTGATAAGAGGTGATTGGACTGAGGAATTAAGCTCATTTGCTTTCACACATAGGTGGAATGTTGATAAGGAGGACAACACACGATTCCAGTCCTATGAGAATAGTAAAGTGCACAAATTACACACAGATACAATCAGGGCACAGAATCTGTGGGTATATTCAGTCACAGCCTGCACAGCATCATATTTCCTATGCACACCAGCACCAACTATCTATTTAGAGAAGGCATGGAGGAAAATTAGCTCAGTTTACTAAGGAAACCTACTATACTCATTCCCAGCTCCATATTGTTATCTTTGGACTGATCTAAAGTTTCTTTGCATGAGTCACTGCTCTAAAAAAAAAATCCATATTTGTCTGACATCAGGCCTTGATTCATTCTCAATCTGAACCCAGTCATTTTAACTCCCCTATCTTTAAGGTACATTTCTTCTGATTAATCTGATTAATTGCTCCTCTGTATAGAATATTTGAGCCTCAAAAAGAACCAAGAGTAGAAAAAAAATTTGATACAGAGAGCTTAGAGCAGTCTGCAACCTAGGTTTTGACACAGGTTGATTGCACGTAAATATTTGAAACTTCAGCCATGTTTATTGTGCATCCACTACTCTAATATATAGATAACAGAAAAGAGCAAAAACCCAAAATTGCTATAGTTAAAATCACTCCTCACCTTTGTTATGTCAGGGTTAGGCAGAGTGTGAGTGTTGCTGTAAAAACTAAGGCAGATGAATGAAATAGCCAGAGTTAGCAAACACAGGAAAAATGTAGTCCCTGGAGGATTCTGTGACACATAATCTCTAAGATTAGTCAGCGGCTGCCAGAAACCCATCATCAGGCTCCACAAAAAGCAGAGATGTGGCGAGCTGTAAACAGAAGAGACAAATTTCACATAACTTAAGTAATGTACCTTTTCATTATTATTAGGCAAGTTCAATACATCTGTTCTTCATAGAGGAAGATTTCAGTAGGAAACAAATGGAAGAGAGCCTGGAGAAATAGAAGTATGCAAAGGAATGAAAGTCAGTAGAAGAAGAGAGAGTATGTGTGTGAATGAGAAGTAGACTGGTGGAGTGAAAGTGAAGCTGCAAGGAGCAGGAGTAGTGAAGGTGGACCTGTGTAAATAGATGGGGTCAACCATTCTAAACAACTAACATTGCAAAAGACAGGTGAAGAAGAGAGCACATAGAGACGGCAGGATGGAGTCAGGTTTTAGGGGTGATTTGTAACAGTAGGATAGCAGCAATAGCAGAAAGAGAAGGTTTACAAGATGCTAATGAGAAATGCTATAACTTTGGTTTGGAGACAGTGCCGCTAACAAAAAGTCAGAATTGTAGGGGGCAGAGTTACTCAGAGTGACCACAGGGACAATTCATGGATTCATATATACATGCAGGGGCAGGGGTGTGACAGAGGAGGATGCTCGGGTCAGAGTAATATGAGGCAGAATGGAAGTCCTAAAAGGAGAAAGAAGTCTGTTCAAACCCACTCCAAAATGCTTTTAGCAGAGGTGGGTGCCTATGTCCCACATTTTAGCCAGTGTTGCCCTCTTGGCTGTTTGACCTTTACTCTCCAGAATAATCTCTGTTCAGACTTTGGCACTGGGAGACCAGAAAGTTTATCTCCACTCACCTAACATCTAAATGTAATATTCCTTGTTGGGAACAGAAAGCCAATCTTGGTCCAACAGACAGGCACCCTGTAGTGCAGTGATACAGATAGTGTACATAAATAGATATAATCATAAATATATACACAAAAACTTTGGCATGAACACACATGCTCTGTATTGCACATACATGGAGACATCGTGTATGAAGCAGTTAAACTTTTCTAATGAAAAATCTTTGCATGGATCACCTAGTTATGTTCATAGTGAGCATTAAGCTGTAGAAAATCTGTAACTTTTATTGTGGAAATACTATATAGCTACTGCTTAACAAAACAGGATATTCGGCATGTCTTTTGTCGAGCGGACCTCGTTTTCAACATAACCACATTTAGTTTGAGCAAAGCTGAAAGCACGTACTCTCTGTCACGTGACTGTAGACAGTTAAACGCTTACTTATAAAAAAAAGAAGACATCTATGTAGTAATTACATTAAATCAATACTCTACGCAACAGGAGACGTACAACTAGTCTAACAACCAGCTCTACTGGCAAAGATTACCGCTCTTATGACGCTAACTAGCTAGCTTTCTGAAATATAACGTCATACCTCGAGCTCGTATGCTTGTTCACGTCTCCGCGCTTGGTAAAATACACCGGAATAGTTTCTTAAAGACAAGTAAACAAAAGTTCGACATTTAAGAAGGAAGTTCAGCAGTTAAATAGTGACACGACACCGCTGTCACTTTACGACAATACACTGCTATGACGACAACAAGGACCAGATCACATGACTTTAAATGGGTTTTTTAAACGGGGGAAAAGCAAGGACACAGCAACAGCAGATATCATTATTGTTATCTTTATTCTTATGTTGAGCATTAGAAGGCAGGATAACACTGGCACTAAATGTTTATTAATGTGCATGTGGTGTTATTTAAATATTCACATTTAGCTTGACGAGTTTGCCACTTCTCAGAGTTCGGGTCATCGAAATAAAGTGTTTACAGGAAGCTTTTTGGATTTTGGAGATTTTGGAGCAGTGTTTCATTCAGAGTTGTTTGGAGCATTTTGTATTTTTCCTCCATGTCTTCAAGCTTGCATACCATTTCTTCCTCTTTTATGTCCTGCTGATCTTTCTCGTGAACAAACTCTTTATTTCTCTGCAGTGTTTTATCGAGCCTTATTTGCAGCACACTGCCTTTTCCCTCCATGTCTTTAAGCTTGGAGTCCATTTCTTTCTGTTTTGTGTCATGCTGCTTGTTCTCTTGAAGAAACTGTTGATTTTTGTGCAGTGTTTTATTATGCTTTACATGCAGCGCTCTGTATTTTTCCTCCATGCCTTGGAGTTTGCACTGCATGTCTCTCGGGTCTGTGTCCTGCTGTTCTTTCTCCTGAAGGGTCTATTTTTTCCAGAGCTTCATCAAGCTTTACTTTGAGCTCCTGATTCACTTTGACCATTTTGTCCTGTTTTATCACACACACACACACACACACACACACACACACACACACACACACACACACACACACGCCTTTTAAAAAGAAGTGATCGCTCTGTTGTTTATTTAAAAAGTTATTTACAAAAAAATCTAAACTTCAGAAAATACTGAATAACTCAAAAATGATTTATCCCAGGATTAAAACATTTGCAACAAGTGTTACAGAAAATGTTCATCAGCATAAATGTAAGTAATAATACTTGGTGATTTCTCCACAGAAAGGTGCATATTTATTGGGTTTATTATAATGATTTTCACATATTTTGCATGAGAAAGAGAAATGCAAAAAAAAAAATCTAATTTTCTGTCTTCTTATTCAAATAGAGGTACATTATTAATCTCTGTACCACTTAAAGATTTTTGTGAGAAGCAGTGATGCCATTTCCCTTTGTCAAACATCATAGAGCTGGAACTACTGATGCCAGTTAAGGAGTCCAGGTGACTTTTATAGGCTTGAAACGCCATACATCAGGCTGACCCATGTGTAGCAGGTCTTTGTAGGGGGAAGCGCTCCACTGGAAGGGTGGCACTTGGTCCCAGGTTGGACCACTCACTGCCACCATGCCGTACTCTCGAAACATCTCGTAGGAGGTCAGCTGCAAAGAATCACACACAATGGCTCAAACTCAGTGGACATCTCTTTTAAACTCATTTTTACTTACGGCAAACCAAAAAAAAAATCTTCAGGGTGCATGATGGGTAAAAGGGTTAGGGCAAAGGGAGATGTGAAAATGAAAACCTTCATGTCTGTTCCTCCGTGTGGTCTCTGCTTTAAGGCGCCAAATGGATATGTTCCATTAGCTGGGTTCAGGTCTGACCGCGCTGAGATCGCATTCTCTCCGTTCTCAGGTGGATCACAGCCGTCACACTTTGAGAGTGGATCTTCCTTAAAGTTATTATACCTGAGGAGGAACAGTGTATCTCATGAATTAAGAGACCTTTTTCTCCCTAACTACAACATCTATCAGAGATTGTTTGTTTTGGGAATACAAATACAGACCGTACCTCATCAGGCGGACCATCGAGTCCACATCTGTAACATCTGTCTGGTTTCTCTGGAAAATCTGAGCCCGAGGATTCTGGTCCAGAGAGAACCACGGGCCAAACTTCTCAACCAACTCATTGCAGCCACTCTTATTAAATATTTCCACATAGTACCTTCAGAAAGAATTTGGAAGTATGGACAAAAGAAAAGACACATGCATAATCTAAAGTACAGATTAACATTTACCTTAATGTTTGCACACCAAATACTTACGGTATGTTGTAACTAGCCCAGTATCCTTTCTTCAGCAGTTCCTGAGTTTTATCAGCGTAAATGGCGAGTCCTCTGCAGCATTGGAAAAAATAAAAGGCTTGTTTTAAGGTCAGATCTGATAGGGTTATATATTGTCAATAGAAACACTGAATAAATGATCTATTTTGATCCAAGTTCGGGTGCTGTGACTTACGGAATCTGCTCCAGCACGACAAAGAGCCCTTCTGTGATGTCAGTCTTCCCTGGAGTGAAGAGGTTGTAGTTGACAATCATCCACTGGTTGTTGTAACTGCAAAGCAAAGTTAAAAGTGGCCTTCTTTTCACTAATACGCACAAAACGGACAAAACAAAATGTTACATAATCTGGTCTTCAGTGAGGATTATTAACACAAGCTAAAAAGCAGAACAGTCTGGAGCCTTGTCAGCAGATCAAACAGTTTCTTTTTGATGATTAAAACTAACTCACGTTCCACTGTTGTACTTCGTGAAGATTTCTGCCCAGTCCTTGCCAGTAGCAGCGAGCCGATTTGCAACAATGTTTCTCAGCCACTCCATGACTGTTCCAGTGGGCTGAACATATTTCCAGAGAGCAGGGTTGCTGTTGCCAATGGTGGTTTCCAAAGTAACCTACAGACAGAAAAAGAAAGAAAAAAAAATAAAAGCAGTAAGATAATCTCAGCTTTCCCTTTTAAAAAAAAAAAATCATATTCTGTTATATAATGTCAAGTATAAAGAGATCTTACCAAGCCGCTGCTTAGGATGTAAAAGTCATCCCCAGAGAAGATGGATCCAGGGTAGGATGAGAATGCCTGAGTTCTTCCAGGAAGAACATAGTTGTCTGAAAAACATGAGAGCACGTGCTGAAGTCACACTATCAACTAGTCCCTAAAATAATTACATCAAAAATGGTGCTAGGGTACTTTTGGGGTTTTAAACGTGCATTAAAGAATTCAAAAGTCAAGCATTTAAGGACATATCTAATTGTTTTGCCATTATATAAAAAAATTGGGACTATTGTTTTTGTATTGTAAATCTGAAAAGTAGAGTGAGCAGGTATCTAGAAACAGCAACAGCTAAACTGGAAAAATCAATGTCCAAATCATCTAACCTTTGCCTCTCTAACTTTGTTGTCACTCAACCTGATCTGTCCCTCTGATGTGCTCATTTCTAATCTAGTCTCTCCTGATCAATCCCAATGAATCTCATCACCAATCAGGAGGCACACTTGCGTCAATTAATTACCTAGAGGAGAAACTTTAAAGGAAAAAATGTATTTCTTCATTATGCGCAGCATGGCCTGGTAGGTGTTCCAGGTGTCATGTGACACCAGCAGTTCCTTATTGTTAGGCAGAAGCTTAATCAGTGCAGAGCAGGAGCCAGAGCCAATGGGTCGGGTTTGACTGGATTTATTCAGAGCCGATTCCAGGTCCTCAAGGTCTCCGCCCATTTGGAAAAGTCTGTTTGGGCAACAGCAAGTGAAAGTTTAAAATCTCAGCAAAAGAGGGTAAAACATGTTTGAATGATACAGAAAAGGAGATAACTACTTACAGGAAGCCAAATGGGTTGAGAGAGAATGACCCTATTGGCAAAGACAGCTGATCATTGTAGCTGTCCTCCAAACCTTTGAGCTGCAACAATGTCAGACGCACCTGATGAAGAAACAGATAGCACAAAGTCTGATTTCTGGCCTTTAAAAAAGCTTGTCATGTAAGGGATTTTTTTCAGTCCTGCTCATTGTACCTGGTACCAGTAGGGTGAGTTTGGATTATTCTCTATTTGGTCCTGAATCCACTGCATGTTGGTTATGATGAAAGACTTAAGGCGCTCGCAGTAGGCAGATTCATACATCAAGGGTTCGCAGTAACCCATTAGAGTGTTCATCCAGTGTTTATAGATCAGCTAAAAAAACACCAGCATACCTAGTCATTAGAATAATTAAACCAAAAATATTTTAACGTCTGACCAAATGAGGGTTAGACTGACCGGAGACGTTGCTGCAGCCTCAACTGCACCTGCAGCGTAAGCCTGGATGCTGTCGTTGTACCGACTGCTGGTAGTCACCTCCAAGAAAGACCAGCTGAAAGAGGGAGCATAAAAATGTAAAACGATCTCCAGAAAAAAGAAAAATAGATTTATGAAGTTTACAGCACTGTGCAAAAACCTTGAGCCACCCCCCATTTGTTTACATTTTGCTAGGAAAATAGGTGGTGCAGTGCTCTACTGAATTATGTGCAAGCAAGGTTATGCATACAAGTCAAAAGCAAAGTCTGTGTAAATCTAATCAGACTGAAAGTCAAGTTTTGGTATGACCATCTTAATTTGCCAGCACAGTCTGAACTTTCTTAAACTAACTTTCGTGTAATTTCTTTAAGTAGGTTCAGGAATAGTTCTCCAGGCTTAATACTATTAATACTTCAATACTGAGTGTTTTTCTATCCAGGTATGACTTTATGGCATTGGCAGTGTGTTTGGGATCATTGTCAAGCTGAAAAATGAAGCAGCTGTCAATCACATGCTTTCCAGATACTATTATACGGTGGATTAAAATGTGAATGCACTGTTCTACATACAGAGCTATTTTGTTATATTTTGTAACTTTGTAAAAGATTGCATTTATATGTATTATTACTATTATCATTATTATTCATGTTATTGTTATTTAATCTATTATATTATTTCATTTAGTTGATTACTGTTCTTACTGTCTTGGAGCAACGGTGACCACTCTGGGATTAATAAAATATTCTGATTCCGATTGATCAATTTTAACAAGATCTCCAGCACCACTGGCTAAAACGCAGCTCCAAAAACAAAACAAAACAAAAAAAAAAACGACAGGGCGTCCACCATGTTTTACAGAAGGCTGTAGATACTGGTTCTACCTCTTGCCTGACCTCCTCCATACATGGTGCTATTTGAACCAGAAGTTTCAAAATTTAATTTATCACTCCATCAGACCTGTTGTCACTGATCTTCAGTCCACTTCTTGTGTAATCTGGGGACCTCAGTGGCTCACCCTTTTCTTTACAGAGAAGACAGATTTCTTTATGACCTGCCAGTTTTCTCACTTTCATAGTTTCCACAGGCCACACACTATGGATGCTGTATTATCTTTTCTATTTTTTTTGCTTTTGCAACTAAAGAAATGGGTGCAAAGGATGTGTTTTTGTAACAGGCTGCTAGTAACAAAGTGCCTAAAGATACAAAATATTATCTCCCCTCCCAAACAGAACAAACAAAAACCCAGCCAATGTCCAAAGAAAAACTTTTAAAGACCTCCAGAAGATTTCTCAGTGTGTCATGTGTGCTACTTCTGCTAATTTGGGTTCCTCAAAACAAAACCACAAGGATTAAATGTTGCTCAACAAGTCAACATTTACGAAAAAACAAGGAAAACAATTTAGACCATTGACACTGCCGAACACCATTCTGTTACAGCTTCATAGGGGATGATTGTTTACGTTCTTTATGAACTCAAATATTTTAATATGTATAATTTCTCATTTTTTCTTAAATTCTTGAACTAGTCTGAGAGAATCTGGATCAGTTTGGGTGTAAAACTAGTAAAACACTGTGTGGAACTGCAAATTATACACTAAACCAGTGGTGGGGAACTCCAGGCCTCGAGGGCCGTGTCCTGCAGGTTTTAGACGTGTCCTTTAGCCAACACCGATGATTTAAATGGCTAAATGACCTACTCAACATGTCTTGAGGTTCTCCAGAGGCCTGGTAATGCACTAATCATTTGCTTCAGGCGTGCTGACCCAAGGTGATATCTAAAACATGCAGGACACCGGACCTTGAGCTCTTCACCCTTGCATTAAACGATTAACCGAATAATTGAAACAATATCAGGAGTCAAAGCTGCAACACGCTTTTCTTACTTTCTGTAAGAAACTGCAGCACTGACCCAGCTTGACCATTCACCAACAACCTATTTCAAGCACAAACCGCACAGACAAACCGAGCCTTTAGAGGCAAATAGTTTACATTTTAGACCAAGAACAGCCTCTAAACACTCACCCTGACGTTTCAATATCATCAGTGAAATTCGCCCAAGCCACAAAATCCTCCTGATATCCCTCTATGACAGACAGCTGTCCGGTTTGCTTGTCGATCACAGCCGTTCGTATTTCTGCTCGAACGGCCGTAAACATACAAAACAAAAGCAAAAACATCTTTAAAAGATCTAAAACCTCTGTAAAACTTCTAACACGGTCAGCTCCGTTCCGCCTGCACGCCATGTTTACGTGAACAAATCATGTGACTTCGATGGGCCAAGTCACCTGACTACCGCCGGGACTTTCAAAATAAAAGACGCCGCCCGACATCCCGCATCATAAGTTCATCAGTAGTTCAGTCACTGTCACAAACGAGACATGAAACAAAAAAGTAACATGTACGCAGCTTTTATACATATATAAAAACCAGTCGTCAGGTACATCAGATCTCTTGGACATTTCATTCTGTACAAAATACTAGTTAATCCAGAGAAAACTGGACCAGCTTTTAAATTCATTATAAACTTCTGCAGATATTCGGGTCCATGTTTTATTCAGTCCATTTTACACAGAGCGTTGGGGTCAGGATTTGTGTGGAGGCTGCAGATGTCAGTCTTCCACACCACCTTCAGTTTCCATTGTCTCCAAAATTCCTTCCATAACCTCCGCTTTTCGCTGCTTTTTGGCAGTGACTGAGGATAAAACCAAAAAAAAAAAAGAATAAATGGCAAACCTACTTTTTATTTAATTGTGTCCTGTTAACAAGGATTTGGTGGATTTACCATGAAAATGTTCAGCTGTTTTTCGCCTCAATGCCTCCACAGTTTCCTCTGCGTCAGCCCACTCCAGCACAAGACGTCTCCCGTACAAATGGGTGCTGTGGCATAGCGCCGCAAACGCTTTCTACATAGAAAGAGAGGAACACAACTGCTAATCAGTGTGACAGCCAAAATCCCTCTAAAATAAATATTGCCACACTTTACTAATTTGAGTCACTTGAGCTAAGACTGATGCTTAAAAATGTTGGCTGGATCTCCTTTTTAACAATATGCTACAAGATCAGTTTTAAGGCCAATAATTGGTAATGAAATCCAGAAATTAGTTAAATACATGCTTATCCCTGAATGTTGGTGAAAATGGTTGAAAGCACGGTATGTGCTAATATTCAGATGGCTGCTCTTCTCAAAACACTCGTTCGATTACTTCTTTTGATTAAATTTGTTCAAACTGTGATCATCAAATTAGATTTTTGAAATTGAAATTATATTATCTCTCTTGGATATGTCAGCTTCCGGCTTGAAATTGTTTCTAAACTTCCTATTAGCAGAAAATCTGTAACACAAAAATCTATTTTAATATTTTTAAAGCACATTAAAATATCCCACCTTGAGTATTTTAAAAAAAGTTCTTTATATGCTGTTGAAAGTACTGTATGTCACAGACCTTGGATCATTTCCTCTATTGTTGCCCTTCAATGTTAAATAATAAAATACATTTGGCGATGGAGACACGCACAGACCGACAGACATGTAGCCAAATGATGAGACCTACAAATCTACATGCTATAATATTCTGAGTAGCTGATGAAATGTATATTTTCTTCGTTTCATGAATCACACACAAACCTTAGCATCTTGTTTGGTGAGGAAATCAACAAAGCCAAAACCTCGATGACTTCCTGAACCAGCCGCTTTCTTTGGAAGACGGACAGTCTTTAGCTCCCCAAATGTACTGAGAAGATGAAATACAAGGAGGAAATGTGAGTATTAATTTAGCTCTTCCAACAGCGTAAATAATAATAAAAAACAATAGCTGTGTACGTGTTACCAGAAAAGCTCCCTGATTTCCCTGACAGATGCTTGGAAAGGAACATTGCGCACAAGGATCTTGGATCCCGTCTGCTTCTTGTCAGCTTGTTTCTTCTTCCGTGTCACCACAGCTGTCCTGCACATGGGGAAAAAAATGAATGAGTGGTGACAAGACGAGCGATGTCTTCATGCTACCACAAATTCTAACCATAAACATGTCAGCTGAAATGTTTAGGAGCATATTCTTGTAAGTAAATAGACATAAGTGGGGAAAAAGAAAACCTTTCTGATTCACATCTGACCTTGTGGCTCTCTCTGAAACCTTCAGCTCTAACTGGTGATCATCCACCTTACAGTGCTGAAGGAGGGTTTAAGGAGAGAGAAGACATTAGCCAAAAACCTGCTTGTGGAGAAAAGCTGCGAGAGTGTTGCTGAGGAGGTGTGGATGGTACCTGTAGCTGCCTCAGGGCCTTCTGAGCTGCTTCTGCCGTCTGATACTGGACAAAACCGTAACCCATTGACAACAGTTTGCCTAGAAGACAGAACAATAAGCATGAGAACAGTGATTACGCAGAGAAAAGCAGATGTTTAGCACAATATTAACAGCGTGCTTGTCTGTGATTAAACTTCAGATGGTTCTGAAGTCTCGTCCTCCCAGATCTGGACCAGGGCATCACTGAGCTCCTGGAAAGTCCAAGGTGCAACCTGTCATCTTCAGATGGACTGAAAAGTGTCCCAGAGCTTTTCTATTGGATTTAATTCAGGCAAGCATGGGGGCCATCAATGATATCAATTCCTCCATTCTCCAGGAACTGCCTGCATACTATTGCCACATGAGGTTGGTCATTATCGTGCACCAGGAGGAACCCAGGACCCCCTGCACCAGTGTAGGGTCTGACAGCAGGTCCAAGCATTTCATAATGTTACCTATGGCAGTGATCTGTGCCTCCCTCCATGGATCTGCCTCACCAGACCATCACTGACCCATCAAGAAAGTGGTTATGCTGAACAATCTTACAGCAGCACAACTTACCACTGAGTCTACAAAAATACTTTTCTTAACCAAAACATAATTTGTGGTTGAATAGTGAGCACTCCATTTGTATTATCAGTTAATAAGCACATGCCAGCACTTGTTCTGAAAGGAAATATTTGAAACCCTTCTCAGTACCTGTTTTATCTTTTTTCTTGGATATCGTGCAGGATTTGACTTTGCCACATTTGGAGAATGTCTGAAATGAACAAATAAAAACCATGACCATCAGCCAGTGATTAAACAGTTAATAATAATAGTATTTATTAATGTACCCACCTCCAATAGTTTCTCCTCTGTCGTGTTGAAATTAAGATTCTTAATGAAAAGCGTAGAACCTGGAAGAGCTTCCTCCTCCTCCTCCTCATCATCTTCTTCCTCATTTTCTATCTTCTTCTCCTCTTCCTCGGCTGCCTTCTTCTCTAATACTTAGTTAAACAGAGCAATGGTGGATTCTGATTATACATATCATACCCTTCAAGTCTGGAAAATACTGCTCTCTCTTAAAGAGACTGCCCGGCTGTGTTTTGAGAGAGTTTACCTGGTTCTGGTTTGGCTACAAACACCCCGACAGGCGCCCACTCCAAATACAGCGGGACATGATGGAACTGGATTAGGGATGAATTTGATCCAATAAGAAGTCTTCAGTATCCAGCAGTCAAAACATACTATATGCAGGTGAAACGTTGCACACACCTTACTGTAAGCCATTCTTGTGAAGGCTCGTTTAGCTTCAGTCGACTCCAGAAACTCAACGATTGCAGTGAGTCCTGAAGGTGGCAGCAGCACACGGCCCAAAGAACCATAAGGTGAGAAGAGCTCCTCAAGCTCTGACGCCTGCACTCCAGCTGGAAGGTTCTTCACCAGGATCACTGTGTTACTCCTTGCTGCTGCTGCCTGTAGACAAAGGGACGCAAGCCGTGGACTTTTCATTCAAATTTTCATTCACGCATTTGGATCAAGAGCACTGAGAAGTACATCAAGCATACCTGACTGAAGGAATCCAGGCTGACACTGTTATCCAGCAGAAACTGCCGCGTCTCCTGGACAATTTGTGTTTCCCCCAAAGCCATCCTCACTGCAACACTTCCCTTTGACTCCTGCAGGGGAGAGCAAGGACCATAGATACATGCAATAAATAAATAAAGAGGAAATGAAAAACACAAGTCTGTAAAAAGAGGATTTTTTTTTTTGGATTGAGATGATGTTATTACTGTGCCATTAGCCTAAAGCATTTGAAAATGTGGTTACCAAACTATAACAGTCATAATAAACCAAATTGGTTTCAGCGAGAAACTGACCTGAGCAGTGGGCTATTGCTGCGGTATAGACTGTGTGGGACAAATCCATAATCCCAAAAAGAGCATCCTATTATCACCAACACTAGGTCAGTATGCTATACATTACACAGAGCAGGTTGTTGGGACTTTTTCAAATCCTTATGAAATCTCTATGGAATAATAAACTAATCATAAACAAATCAGTTAACCAGGTATATGTCAGAGAGCTGGAATTACTTCTGTTTTTCACATCTTTGGTATCCAGTCAAACATTTTTCAAAGTTTTAGTCAATTAACAGATATTTATAAATAACCATACAGTCAATTCTGGAGGTAAAAAGTGGTCTGTCTAAATGGTTTGGATGTACTCTTACCTACCCTACAGGTAGTTCAATCTAACAGCTACTAAAAAAAAAAAAAAAAAAAGTGAGACCCTTTGCTCAACCGAGTGGTCTTGTCTGTGTCTTGTCTGTGAAATCTACTGCCAGCTAGCTTTTCCTGCAGGGGTGGGGTTACAAGGGTCTTTAATTCTCCATGTACATTGAACTTCTGCAGGACTCAAAGTTTGATGGAATAACATTCAAGAGGTTAACCTTTTCTCTAAGAGAAAATATTTCAAATCTCTGCAAAACTGTTTATCTTAGGTTCAGCAACTGAATTTCAAGACTCTGGTTCCTTTAAAGAAAGATGGATTTTCTGACTCTTGGATAACAATGATGACACAGCTGGCTGCCTGTGAGACTAATAAAAATTCATGAACACATTCTTAAATGGGACCAGTTTATTAGGTGGCCGTCTGCAGTTTAAATAACTTTGTGGTTACCAAGTAAATGTAATATAAGGTTGAAAGAGGCATTTATAATTAGTCGTGTTGAACTCCCTTTTCCCTTATATATTATTATTATTTCTTCTCTTGTATTATATTTTTATAATTTGTTAAAAATTGTAATAAATTGTTCAATTAAAAAAAAAAAAAAGGAGGAGGAGGAAAAGAGGCAGACAGGAGCGTAAATGCAGGTGAACTAGATGTAAAGTCACTCACGTGGTCCAGGACTTGGCTTTTGGTGGTGTTGTATTTTTCAGCAATAGCATCTGCCACTGCACTTGTACCCAGAAACAAGGTGTTCCAGTTGTGTGAACTAGAAAGAAACCGAGAATTCAAGTG